GGTAATATGAGATTTCTGTTTTACAGGGGTGTGGACGTGAGCTGCGTCGATGGTCTTTAAAAGCTGGGTTATGAGAGGGTCGGATCGCATGTGTGACCAGTCGAAGAGGTTTCTGGAATGGTGAAATTTCAGTGCCGACAGGTATGATACAATCATTGATAGGGACATTGTCTTGTGTAATAGTGATATATTTTACGAGAGAATCTCTAGAGATTGGCCAGATCGATTTGTCATGGTTGAGCCATTTGTTGTGTGTGGCAAGTGTCTCATAGCGCCTGATGATGGCCTCGTATGTCTTCTTGGTGGGGTTTGGGATGTTGAGGAGTGATGCGGCTTGTTTGTCAAGAGACAGCTGGTTGCCAAAGATGTAGGTATGGTTAGTGTATTGGGTGAGGGACTGCTTTCTGGGAATGATGTGAGGAGTTTCTATTGCTTAAGAGAAGGGATTAGTGAGATTAGTTCTGTGAACTCAGTAGGGATATCTGGTTGAAGGTAGCGGGCGAGTGGGTTGTTGGCGATGAATTCGCAATGATCATTACGAGATAGTAGGTCAGCGTTGGTGTTGCTGGTTCCTGGAATATGCTCAGTTTTATGGCAAAGTTTTCTTGGATTTGTGTTGTATACATAAAAGCTATTATGGTGTTGGTATCTGGGTTTCTGCAGTAGCCGGCATAGTATGCCTCAGCATTGGCCAAATTGTTGGTCCAGACAATAAGCTTTTTCTGTTCCCACATGGGGCCAAAAGTTCGTATAGCAATCAGAGTTGTCAACAGTTCACGGGTTTGTATATCAACTGCGGCGAGATTAGTTGCCTTGGACCAGTTGAAGGCAGTGAAATAATTGTTATATGTTGCTCCTCCACTGATATTAGATGCGTTTGTGAAGAGGTTGAGGGTGAGGGGAAGACACTAGTCTCTATCTTGCATTAATAGTATGCCTAGCCAAGTTTGAATAGAAGAGATCCACCATTGAATGTCAGATGCAATAGGTTTTGTTATGCGAATGTGGTATTTGGGGTTGCTAGAGGATTCTTGGGCTTTGATTATATGCTGTACGAAGGGGCGTCCTTGTGGGATTATCTGGCACGTCCAGACTAGAGAACCGACTAACGACTGCAGTTCTTTTAGGAAACACCATTTCTTGGTTGCCCATTGGTGTAGAAGAGCTATAAGCTTGTCACGTTTTGAGGTTGGTATAGATGCTGTCATGGTGACTGTGTTTAAAGTGATGCCTAAAAAGGTAACCATAGTGCTAGGTCCCTCCATTTTCGACTTTTTGTAGAGGATGTTCATAAGGTCCAGGATACGTATAAATTGTTGTAACTCCTGGGATCTGTCTGTTGGCATGATAATCAGAAAGTCGTCCACGTAGTGCATGATTGCGGGAATGCTTTGTTGTGAAGCAATCCATGCTATAGTGTCAGCAAAATGACAAAAGATGCCGCCAGATGCCCGGTTGCCGAAGGAGAGAACTTTGTCAAAGTATATTTCTTTGTTACAGCAGAAACCCTGAAGTAGCTAGTCTACTGGATGAACCGGTATTATTCGGTAAGCGTCCTTAATGTCTATTTTAGCCAGGGTGCAGCCTTTTCCGAAGTGGTTTATCTACCGTATAGCATGAGAGACATTCTCATATTTGGTTACGAATTCGAGTTTGTCTATTCTATCATTTATGCTGAATTCGGGTGGTGAGGATAGGTGAGAAATGACTCGATATGCTGTTGGGTTGGTATCTTTCTTTTTGACCAGTCCGCAAGGGTTGGTTTGAAATAGCTCGCAAGGTGGGCTGTCTTCGTAAAAGGGGCCGCAAATACGATTACTCTTGAGTTCCTCCGTTATATATGATTGAAATATTTCTGGGTTTAAGTCGATTGATTTTAGGTTTTTTTGAATCAGTTTAGTGCGAGAGCCTCTGAAGTTAAACCGGAAGCCCAGCTGGATGCCATTAACCAGGTAGTCGATAAAGGAGCGGTTGGGATAGTTTCTTGTAAGGTGCTAAAATGCTAGTAGGTTTATCAGGGTTTGTATATTAAAGTACTGAGGATCTAGCTGTGACATGAGCTTTAATTTTGTGTCGCTTGGGGGATGTTTGGGAGAGGTATTGCTGAGATGGTTGCTTCGACTGATTGTAATATTGGGGCTTCATCCGCTGTAATGTTTCGTGATAGTTTGAACTGTGCTTTGTGCTTGAGAGTACTAGATGTAGATGCTGTTGCGAGAAACAGATAAATGTAGATATCCAGTAAGTACCGTTAGTGCATTGTTTCGGTGTACGTTTCAGGCTTTTTCCACTCTCCCGCTTTTCCCCCTTTTTTTTTTTTTTTTTTATTTTATTTTTTGTGCTTGATTTTTCCCTGTTATGCTCGTTTTCCTTTCCCTTTTCTCTTTTTTTTTTTTTT